GACGCAGAGAAACTGGAACCCGTTGCTGGGAGGAATGTAAAATGGTACAGCTACTCTGGAAGACAGCCTATTCAAAAGGCTAAAGAATTATCATTTGATCTTGCAATTCCATTCCTAGGTATATACAAAAGAGAAATGACAAATCACAAATGTTCATAGCAGCATAACTCAAATATCCATCATTAATGAACAAATACACAAAATGTGGTATGTCCATACAATGGAATAAAAATGAGTAATGTATTAATATATGCTACAACATGGATGAACCTTGAAAATACGTGAAATGAAAGAAGCCAACCACAAGTTTAATCAAGGCAGAGTTCTGTTTCCTTGAAACCAATTCTCTTAAGTTTCAGCCCTAGGGAACAAATGTCTTTGGTGTTAATACCTGCATGTGTGGAAATGAAATGAGATGTACAAGGGGATTCGGTGGGTTGGGAAGCTTCAGTTGGCGCAGGTGCTCCATGGATAGTCTTCATTTCATTACCCTCACTACTTCCCTCATTAATTCATTCTCGCTTTTTATACTTGTCACCTCTAAGCCTAGAGCTTCTCCATTATCAGTCAGAATAGGGGAGAATAGCTTCCATTTCCAATTCTGACTTTTCCTATGCATATTTTGGGATGTAGATTTCTCTACTACCACTTGTTCTTCATTATAGTCACGTAGGCTTTCATCTTGTACTTGGAAAATCTATATCTCTACCACTTTTTATAGCACTTTGAGAAATTTATTTCCTTTTACTATTTTTTACATGAAAATTCCAATAGGATTTTAGGGTTTGGGGGTGTAAACACAGTATTCAGTCTATCACCTTAAACTGGAAGCTTACTATCTAAATCTTAAATCTTTTCTTAGAATCAAGCTCTTTGAAACATCAAGACCCTCTTTCCAAATAACACCAAAATATGGCCATGGGGTATAAATGCTATGATCTTTATTAGTCCATAAATAAAGTAGGAAGTATTCTTTACCAAATAAAGCCAAATTGAGAAATTTTTAAAAATTTAGAAAAAAAACCTAATTGGTATAGTTTGAAATACATGTTAACTTTTATTAATAATTTCATTTGAAGTATTCAAAAGAATTGTACCCAAAGAATTTCCATGCACTAAACTAGAACCTATGGCCACTGTCTTTATATATTTTCCCAATATAAACTTATTTTTACTTACAAAAATAATTTGTAGTATAAAAATGCATATCCCAAGTAGAAGTTATTAAAAAAATCTATTCAGATAAGGAATTATATATAATAAAAACTTTATTTCCCATTTAAATGAGCCAACTAGAAACAGCTAAATCAGCAAAATAATTTAATTTGGTAATTCAGTAAAATAATTTAGGGAAAAACTCTCTACTTTCCTGAAGTATATATCCATCAATGTTGCATTCATCAATATCCATCAATCCAGGATTGAAATGGGAAATAAATGTTTATTCCTTATGGATCTTCACTCTCTCCCTCCCTGGGTTATATCATTCAGGCTTGTGACCATTTACATGCTGATGATACTACTTATATACTAGTGATAACATCACTTAGATAACTAATAAACTTCATATCAAAACAAAATTCCTTCCCAAATGCACTCTGAACCACAGTAAATGTAAAGGGCATAATCAGTCACCCAGCTGTTCATACAAAAAACCAAGAGCCATCCTTTATTTCTCCTCTTCCTTCCTTCAATCTATCAATAAATCTTGTTGGTTCTACCGCCATCATTTATCCATTTTTTCCCATTTCCACTGCAGGGCCCCCTGTCCCCTGCAATAATCTTCTGATTATCCTGCTTCTGTTCTTGTCTCCTTAGAATCCATTTATCCCTCAGCAGTCAGTGTGACTTAGACGATGCCATTTCTCTGCTTAAAATCTCCCTTAGAGGGTGCCTACGTGGCTCAGTCGATTGCGTGTCTGCCTTCAGCTCAGGTCATGATTCTGGGGTCCTGGGATCAAGCCCCCAGTCAGGCTCCCTGCTCAGCAGGGAGTCTGCTTTTCCCTCTCCCTCTGCTATTCTCTCTCTCCCTCTCTCTCTCTCTCTGTCAAACAAATAAATAAATAAAATCTTTAAAAAAAAAAAAATTCTCCTTAGAAAAGGAACCCATCTCCCTACCAGGACCTACAAGGCCTTTCATCATGATCTGACTCCTGCCTACCTCTCCACCCTCATCTTACTCTTTGCCTTTCTCACTTTTCCCAAATACATCAATCTAGTTCCTCATTTGGGAGCTTTATTTACATTTGCTGTTCCCTCTGCCCAGAATCCCTGGCTCATCCATGTCATCTAAGCTATTTACATGACTGCTTCTTTGCTCTTAAATATCACCTTCTTAGGAGGCCTTCTCCAAGGTAGTTGCCATCACCTTTCTTATTTTTTTGTATCCATCTATTATAATCTAAAAATAATCTTATATATTACTCCCACACACACAAGAGAAGCTCTCTTAAGGGCAGACTTACCTATCTTGTTTATAATTCTCTTCAATACTTAGAACATAACAGTTAAGAGATATTCAGAACGTTTGCTGAATGAAAATTTCCTAAACATCACTGAAGCAATACAGGTATTAACTATACTGAGTTTATTAGCTTATTATAGTTTAAATTATATTAGCTAATTACAAATTATCAGTTTATTATAAATAAGTGGAGTTTTAACTTTCCACCAACAGAAAGATATTAAGATTACATGAGCACAAAGGAAGAATATACCACCACTGTGCTACATCTTATTCATGTAAGACAGGAACAGAGAAAAACACCCACAGACTGCCATCACTGCCTCTGGGGCACCCCGGACCTTCTTCCCACAGCAGAGGTCCCAAAAGGAAAATCACATGTATCTGGAAGAGATGCATGTAGAAGACACCACCACATTCTGTCCAAAGGAGGAAAGAGAAAGTGAACAAACATCTTTCAGGATTGAAACTCCAGACCAGACCAAAAGGAGGATTTTCATACCTTCTTCTACAAGCTCTTTGAAAAGAAGTCCAGTGGATCAGAATACAGGGGATAAAATTCATGAGAATCCCTCAATGGATCCTTCACCCACCAAACAAAATTTCTTCAGAAAATGACTTGCTCTCACAAATGATCTTGACAAAGGAACAGCTATGTAAGACATACTTAAAGTTGTACTTCAAGTAGTAAGATGAGGATAAAAAGCCTCATATATATTGATGTATAAGTCAGTTATAATTTATATCAGTTATGAATACATCAACATATTGATGTATAAATCCCTGAAGAAAATGAATACAAATACTTCCATATGATACACTAAATCAACATATAGGACACTAAAGAGCTAAAGATCAGTCTATGTTTGAGAGAAGGGAGAATGGAAACAAACAAACAAAAACAACTAGAAGAAGGGAAACAAAGACGTTTCATAGCATTATAGAAAAATGCATTTGGAGGAAAATAAACAATTTGTAAAAACAACAACAACCAAAAGAAAATCAGATGTAGTAGACCCGATTGCGGGAGTTGGGGGCTAGGATTCACTATAGTAAAGTTATATTAAAAAAATAAAAAGAATAAAAATCACTAGGAAAGCCAAATCAACGTTTATGCCAACAAATTTAATCTGGCACTTCTGTATGTGATCTTTAGAGGTCTCTCTTATGAAGTGAGTGTAAAGAGAATCTTGTTTTTTATACTGTTTGCAGTACATAAGTGCCACCAATCATAACTAATGAATAGCGCCATTTTAAGGCCTTAAATATTGCTAAATACATTTGCACAAACTTGTATTTCTGCCCTTTCTGAAGATAAATGCAAAAAAAGACCAGCAGGATTTGGAAAGAGTAGTTTCCATTAAAGAGAAAGAACACTTTGCTCTATATCTCTATTGTGATACAGCATTTCCTCAGACATGATTTTATCTGTTCTAAACAGTTACAAACCAAGAAGCAAGCAACAGATGCCACAAAGGAACTAAAGTTCAGCTGGTGCGTATGCAAGAAAACACACATTTTTTATTATATAGCCTCAAGGTCCTCACTCATAGTCCTTTTGATTTTATTTCAGGCTGAATTCTAATACATTTGGCCATCTAGTTTCTCAGTGCAAATCAGAGGTAGCAAACTAGAAAACAGAAAAGACAGAAAACTATTTATTATACTGAGAGCAGATGACCTAACAAAAAAAAGGAGATTAAAATACCATTGGAAGAAGGGGTTAAAAAAATCTTAGAATCAAAAATAAAATTAAAAAAGCGTAGCTGGCAAAGTTTTATAATTACAACTTTGGGACTCCTGGGTGGCTCAGTCAGTTAAATGTCTGACTCTTGATTTCAGCTCAGGTCATGATCTTGGGGTCATGTAACCCCTGTAATGGGCTCGCTCTCAGTGGAAAGTCTGTTTCTCTCCTGTCTGTCCCCCCAATGTGTGCACATGTGCTTGCTCTCTCTCAAATAAATAAATTTTTAAAGAACATAGTGCAACATTAATACGGTACCTCATCTAGTGGCTTCCACGGCACACTGAACTTTAAGTTCAAATAACGACCCTATGTTTTTAACCCTGGAGTTTCTGACTTGGTAGACATTCATACTGCATTCAACACTCCAAAGCTGATTCTGATGCACACTGAGAAGACTGTCTTAATAGTCTAAGGAAAGATTATACTGTATTCAATATAATAGTTAAGAAATAAGTGAGAACTTATAATCTTTAAATGTGTTCAATAAAACTTGTTTTTAAAAAGTTTGGGCATGCTGAGGTAATGTGGTATATTCATCTTCCAAGAGGAGAGGGAGGGCTAAAGGACAGACTACCAAGAGCCAATTTTGGAACCATTAAATATAATGAATATACGTAATGATAAGTGAAGTAGAACACTTAGTAAGACATGAAATAAAGACAGAAACTAAATGAAGTTAAAGTTATGCAAAGAAAAATAGCTCTAATTATAAACTACAACAATCTGGACAGAAAACTCCTCTCTACACAGTAGCATCTCCCAAACAAAATACTTAACACTTATACTCACCTTTCTGAAAAATCAGAATCTATAAATTCTCTAGCTCGTTTTCTATCACTAAAAAGAAAAAAAAAAAAGATAGCATAAAAAGAACAGATATTTAAACACAATTTTATTTCACGAATAATTTATTGTAACCTGTCTAATTCCACAGCAAATACATCCAAACACAAAATCTAACAAATAGAAAAGATACGTTTTATCATAGGACTGAGAAATCACAACATAATAAATTTTACCACAGGACCAAAAAGATCACAATATAACAACACAGTCTGAAATGAGCTCAATGAAAACGGAAGAAAAATATTGCAGACTTAGAAAAGGCACAGAAGAGTATTAGTCACTATGGAATGACGGAGCAATCATTCCACCCCCAATATATAAAGCCCTGCTGGGGCTGAAAATATCCAAACCCGGTCATCTCCAAAGTGGGCCAACACACCTGGCATGGGTTTGGCTTTCATGTTATAAACTCTCAAGGCTATGCAGAAATCCAAGGTAACTTTCAGATCCTATGTGGGATAAGGACTGAATAAAGGCCATGGAATTATAGGTGACTGCGTCATTTCATCTCCTTTGATAGTGAAAAAATACGTATACATATGAAACTCTTCTGTCTCTAATGTGTGTGTGCATGTGCATGTATGTATACACATGAACATGTAAATGGCTTGAAACACTTTGCCAGGATTATTTCATCAATTCATTTAACATCTTGGAAATAAGAAAGCTCTTACACAACCAAGATTTACTGTCTGCTTGCTAGAACTCACAATCATAAGTCAAAGACACAACTACCAGTATAGTAGGCCACCACGGAAATGACTTCTCAAGTAAACAAATAAGGTTTGAATCCTTTATCTTACGCATTTTCTCTTATGGAAAGATGAAAGGCTCAAATGATAAGGAGCAGAGAAAGGCTGGGTAAGGGTATTTTACAGGCAGAAATGAAACATCTGAAAGTTTGATACTAAAAGTGGTAAATGAGGAGCACAAGGGATACTGATTTAATTGTCCAGTGTTTGAAAAGGATCAAGAGAAAAACTCAGTAAAATTTTTAATATTTTTGGCCTCTTTTTCCTAGTTCCTTTTCTGATGTTTAAGGAAACAAAAATTCACAGGGGGAAATTCTGAGCCAACATTCAACATGCAACTCTTTTCTTAAGTTTGTTAAAACAATATAAAATATAGAATTTGCATCTCCAAAGCAGTTAAATGTCATAATCACAAAAAAAGTAGTCCTTTTTCAGAGCTGAAAGATCAGAAGATTCTGGTACAAATTACTGTATTGTTTTTCTCTACCTAAAAATGGTTGCTCCATGAATGATTTATATCTAAGACATAAAGTGAAATTAAAATAGGTAGTTTTAAAGGCAACACATTAGTTTCTAAGGACTAGGCTAACATAAAACAAGAATGGAAGACAACACAGTGAGAGAAAAAGATCATAGTTTCAGAAAAAGTTTTAAAAATGGTAACTTGCAACAACACTCTTACCCTGGGACCCAGCCGGTAGCTTCTGCTATGTGTGTCTGAGTAACCATTGCTGGTGCAGGGGTATATGGACTCCCAATCAGAACACTTCCTGAACTGGTTAGTCTCTGTGGTGTGCTTATAATCTATAAAGTTAGGACACAGAAAATAACATTCTTAGTTATTAAGAAATGCATATAGGCAGAAAATCATGTTGACTGCTAAGCTACATATAAGGAGGAAAACTCACTGCCAAAAACGCACTTAATAGCAATCATCTAAAACATAAGCTTTCACTCACTTATATTCTATGATCTTAAAGCATTAGTAATTGAATACTGCCATGAGGTCACAATACAGGTTTCAGCAAATGAACAGCAATTTGGAAGGATTAAGGTGGCAACTAACAATGTTTTAAAAATTAAAAAAAACCAGAAAGCTGTCTTTGAAATTACAGAACCCAACTGCAGTTGAACTTGAGGTACCCAAACTAGGGCAAGGGTAAATCAGACCTTCATGTCCAAAATATACACAAAGGCATCATACAATTTGGATTATTGTAACAAATGCAATTTTATCTTCTTTTTTCAAGAGCATTTCATGTCAATAAATATTCTTCACAGAAATTTTGAAGATAGTGAAACATTTTATCATGTGGATTTGTTATCCCCTCCTGTTAGCTATATATGGATATTCAATTATCCATTATTATAAGCAATGCTGTGATGAACATTTTTGGACAACGATTTTGGCCTTAGTATCTATTTCCTAAGAACAGACTCTAGAAAGGTAATGGAACTAAAGGATATAGACTTTTCAAAAAGCTTCTTGATAGGTGCTACCAAATTGCTGTCCAGGACTTCACTAATAAATAGACCATGTTTTTTCCAAAAATGTTTATAATAATTAGTACAAAAGACAATTTAGCATTCTACTAATATCTTTATAAGTACTTTTGCCATAAAAGTAAGGGCAGGCTCCAGTAGTAGGGGTATTAATGCAACAGCATTGGCCCCACGTTGGTTACTGTTGAAGAATGAGCTGCTGGGCACACAGGGATTCTCTCTCTCTCTCTCTCTTTTTTTCTTTCCAACCCTGAGGCACAGGACTGCCCTCAACTGGGCAACCCCAGAGCTTCAGATCTCCTAAAGGGAAGAGATTCCATTTTCGTATACTTTTGAAAATTTCCATAACAGCAAGGTTTTGTTTAAGTACCAATTAAGAGAGAAAAGCATCTATGTGAGCTACACACAATTTTTAAATGACAGATCTTCAAAGAAATAGTTCTATTTCTACTGTCTGATGTAGGTCAAAATACTAATTTTTGTAGCCCTGATCAAATGAAACCTGTTTCTGCAGGCAGTTCTAATTCCAGTCATTAAGTTAGTTGCTAATTTGCTCCATAAGGAACAATGGGAAGGATTCATTTGCATTTCAAACTTAGTTTGGCCTTCATTATCAAAGCTGCATCAACATTTATTCATTTACCAAATACTTATGAACATTAGTTACCTCCGTTTGTGTATGGCATTTTGCCAATTTGGAGCTAGGGAGATATTACTATATACAAATGCCTAGGAAATAATTTTAGTAAGTTAATTCTATAGTTAAAAAAAAAAAAGACAATAAACACTGATAGATATCTGGAGAATTCTGATTCTCCACAATATTCCAGGGACTATTAAATGAGGAATTTAGAAGCTTACCTCATGAGGAAATATGAATACTAGATAATAGGTTTGTATCTCCTACCCTTCTACACATCCATCCTACCTCTGCACCTCCATTTCAGTGAAAATCTTTAAGGGTAGATCAAATGTTTGCAGAGCCTAGCACAGAGCTAGGAGATATTCACAGGAAAGGCACAAGAAATATTTGATGAACTGAGACAGAAGCCCCAGCTCTTAAAATGAAAAAAGTAGCTTCTCTGTTCATTAATATGCCAGAAGGACTACATAAAATCCAGTAAGAAAATGCAATATAAAGGACATAGTTCTGGGGCGCCTGGGTGGCTCAGTAGGTTAAAGCCTCTGCCTTGGCTCGGGTCATGATCCCAGGGCCATTTCGGGCTCTCTGCTCAGCAGGGAGCCTGCTTCCTCTTTCTCTGCCTGCCTCTCTGCCTACTTGTGATCCATGTCAAATAAATAATTAAATCTTAAAAAACAATAATAAAGGACATAGTTCTTACCAATCACTACATCACATGTTTGTATGTCCTATAACATGCTGACCTTGAGGGTGAAGCTTAAGAAGGAAAATCTGAGTATTTGATCAGTCTCTGGTCTACTCTATTTCTAGAACAGGAGTCTCCACAAAGCAATTCTAATCATCCAAACTTACCCTTGAGACAGACTGCATTATTTGTGCAGTATTATTACTAAGTTCTTTTTCTGTATCTGTTATTAGTAGCCTACAGGCTCAGTTTACCTGATTTAAAGGGCTTTGTAGAAAAAAAAAAGATGAGAGGAAGGGAAATAGGACATAGGAAAAAACTGGTTATTATTACTGAGAAAGGCTTTGGAAATGAACTGCTATGTTCTGGTTTATTTTTTCTTCCTCAATGTCAGAATGTCACCTGACATTCTTTGCTGAGCTGTGCTTTGTGAGCTTTGCTGACGGTGATTAGCAATATTCTGTTCTTTTCCCTTAGCCTAGTGCCTGCTACGCCCTCAATAGCAGAAATCCTCAATAAACATTTCCTGAATGAACAAACTGGAGGGATGATATACTTCAACTACAAAGACAAGTTAGAAGTTCATGTGAGATGCAATGAGTTCCTAAATTAGGACAATGACAGTGAACCTTAAATAAAATCAAAGAAAAGCCAACAGAACTTGATCAACCACTGAATACAGGAAAATTATATAGGTGATGAGTCAGATGTGTTTTATAAAACTGAACCTTAATTTTGAAATTCCAAATTGAAATTAGAGGTAAATTAGAGGTAATTACTATATTCAGTTTATCTGATAAGGAAAGTGAACATTTATTTTAAATTCCGGCACTTACCTTCCCCCACCCCAAAGAAATCCTTAATTTAAATGTAATCATGCAGTTTTTTGACAATGGATTACAGCTGGGCTATGAAAATCATACAGTAATTGAACCTCATTCTGAAGGTTTTCTGCCTTCAATCAATATATCTTACATACTACTGCCATCTACAGTAAGAATAGCCAAGAAATTGTTACAGCCTTGTATGGTAGCTACACTGGTGGTGAACAGCATGAAGTACAGAGCTGTCCAATCACTTTGCTGTATACCTGAAACTAATGTAACATTCTGTGTCAATGATACTTCAATTAGAAAGCAAGCAAGCAAGCAAAGCCAAGAGAGCTTCTGTATTCCTTTTTTTTTTTTTTAAAGATTTTATTTATTTATTTGATAGAGATCACAAGCAGGCAGAGAGGCAGGCAGAGAGAGGAAGGGAAGCAGGCTCCCTCCGAGCAGAGAGCCCGATGCGAGGCTCAATCCCAGGACTCTGGGATCATGACCTGAGCTGAAGGCAGAGGCTTTAACCCACTGAGCCACCGAGGCGCCCCAAGAGCTTCTGTATTCTAAAGGGAAAAAGAATCTATGTAATTATAAAGTATTACATTAAAGGAGTTTATTATTTCACAAAATTTTAGTTTTACTATAAGAAACATGTACTTTTTAACCATCTTTAATAAAGATGGTTATGAGATTATATGACAAGATACCTTTAAGTATAGAGCAAGTATTCCAAACTAAAACAGTTACATTAAACTAGTTACTATAAACACAGAAAACAACCTTTTTTTTTAAAGACTTTTTGAAATTTCTATCTACCATTAAGACTTGGCTAGAGACGTGAAATTGATAGGGCAAATAGAGAAAGACAACAGAAGAGAAGCAGGTTTTAAAAAAGAAAAAGGTTTTATTCAAGGGTTTTCCAACTTAAAAAAAAATGCTTTTAAATCACGGATGAGAGAGTGAAGGTGAGGGGACACTATTCAAAAGAAATAAACAAAAGAAGAGAGAAATGGCTCTAACTGGGATTCTACAACAATTAGGAAGTCAAAAAGAAAGCTCTCATTTCTGTCTAAGAACTGAGAACTGGAAAAAGCACCTCAGTATTAAGACACAAATTAAGGTCTGGTTTAAAGAGGAACCCCAAATCTCCCTTCCTTCTTCTGACCTTTCTTTTGCTGTTTCTGAGGTTTGTAGTGATGAGGTAAGTAGAGTACAAGACTACTTTATCATTGTCAGAACTGAGGTATAACAGTAACTGCATGCACGGTAGCTCAAATTGACAACAGAAAGAAAAACTGTTTCCAAAAGAATTTGAGCCATAGCAGTATCCCTAAAATACTGACAGAAAACAGTCTCTCGAAACAGAGGACTGTGAGGGAGAAACTCTAAGAGTTCAGGGATGTTTATTTAATTTTGGTGTTTATATAATCACATTTCAAAATACAGACTTTAAAGTCAGGTGCCTTATCTCATTTACACCTACTTTTCAGTGGCTGGTGAGAAGCAAAAGCTTAGTAAATGTTTGAAATATACCCTGAACTACCTTGAAATGGGGACACTTATCTGAACTTAAGTCCCCATGAGGTTTGGAGCTAGACTACATTCTTCACATAGTTACAGTAAATTGTGAGAGATCTTTAGTTTGAATCCTGTAGGTAATTAACAGTCCTCAAGTGATCAAGAAAAATGTCATGTCTTGAATGTCTTAAACTCTTGAAGATTTGCTGAAGCCACTAAGTATGTTAAGATACATTTTTTGCTTAAATAATTCTGCATTTAACAGAGTCCACAGTACTGAGTATCACGGGCAAAATTTATCCTTCCTGCTCTATAGATGAGACCACATGAGCACTAACAATGAAGAGTTACTGTTCAAGCATTTACAAACTTTTGCTAAAGGTGGCTGAGACCATTAAATTAAGTATAGTTTTCAGGGTAATTGCATGTCACTTTGTTTAAAAGTAAGGCTTTTCTGAAAGTGTTATATACTTCAAGCTCTAGCATGATTAATGGAATGCCTCCAGAGAAACAGTTAAATATTTTCCACTTTTCATTCATTATTTCTACTGCTAAAGATTGATAGCGCTGGATATAGATTAACTGCTGGGTCATATTCAATATTTATGAGAGTACACAGCTTAGGGCAGTAAAGGTTATTTTATAAGGAAAAAAAGAGGAGAACATAAAACATAACAGATTTCTAATCAATTTAATCAAACTAAAAACAAGAGAAGCCTACCATAGGGAGCAAGCAAAAACCTTGATATTACATATCCAGAATCCAGACTCAATTACATGAAAATTAAACAATGAAGAGCACAACCGCCTTTCTTTTTCTCAAGACTTAATCAGATACATTCTGTTGAAAACAAAACTTCTTAAAAAAGTGCATAAGAAGTGAACTGGAATTTTTGTTCAGCATCTTTAGTACAATTATCTTTTAAATTAGTCTTGCCTGAGCAAAATGTCAAATTCTAAGATTTGATGGTTTTCTTACCATTTGGGGTCCAACATTCACATTTATTGGTCCTAAGGTTTTTGGTAAAATCTTTGTTGGTGAGTTGGTGCTGGAAACTGGAAATGCAACAAATGAAATGTTACCTGAAATGATATAAAAATATTAGGTTAATGTCCTGCAATATCAAGGTCCCCTTCTATCTATACATTCATGGTCCTAACCCCAGTTTTGTTTCAGTAATTTATAATTATTTTAATAATTAAGTTAAAACAAGAAGCCTTACGGAAAAGCCATTCTAATGATTGCTTTTTTGTAGGGAATACAATTAGTTCTGCTAAATAGGAAAACTGTAAAATAAATGGTTCACTCTGCCTGACAATTAATTACTAAACTTTTAGTGGGTTTTTAGAGGAAAATCTATTTAGAGAATACAGAGTGCAAATCATAGTTTATTTCAGAGTTGAGAAATCTAGTTAGATCTTTATCAGACATCATAGAACCAAAAAAAGTATGAAGTAGATAGGAACTAAAGTATCTATTAGAATTTATAGTATAATAGAAAGTATTTACACTAAGAATTAACATGCTTGCAAATGAGTTGGTATTTAGAAAAAAATATGATGCTACCTAGTGACACTGAAAACAGTGAGATGTGCACAGTGTTTTCAAGTGATATCAACACTTTAAATTTGAAATTAAGGTAGCTAAGTGCTACCCCAGAAATGAAACGTTAACTGATAACTTTCTGAACTGTGTCAACTACTTAACCACTCTGGACAAACTTCAGTTTATCAATGTTTTTCTTAATAATCTAATGTAACAAAGAAGATTACCCAGAAAGTATGTGAAAGAGATTCAATACTGAAACTCTAGGGGGAAAGACAGCATTTAAGAGCAGGACAAGACCCCTCCTTCTCAGATGGCCCCCTTGAATCTCCAAGCACTTGCCCAGACTCCTTAAACCCTACCTCTCACCTGATTCTCAGCAAATACTCCTATTTCCTTCAGTGAGGAAATCAGGCCATCAGGCTATACTATAGCTTCTCTTCCCTGACCTGTGAACCTGTCTGCACCCTCACCTATTTTTACTTTTTTCTCTGAGTGGAAATTCTCATATAAATGATTTCTTTCATGTCTCTACAAATCCTATCTTCTCAGGGGTCTCACTTATCAATTATCTACTGTCTCCTGGGTTTTCAACTGTACCATCAGCTCCTCCCCTTCAGTTTCTTTCTGCCCATTTGCCCTGTATCATTTTCCCTCAATACCCACACTCAACAAGGTCTAATAGCCAAATCTGTTTCTCCTTCATGTTCTTGGTATATGATTGAATCTTGATAGATGATCATTACCATCCCAGTGACCCAGTCCAGAAATAATCAACCCCCTCCTCGTTCAACTGACCACCGTATCCTATTTATCTCCTTACTCTGGCTCCTTTATGTTGCTGGCACTTGGTTTAATTTGAAACGTTATCAAATCTGATTCGAACACACTTACCGTCTAACTCAGTGATTCACTATTGTGGCTGTGCAATGGAATTATCTGGGACTCAATAAAAAATACCAATGTCTCAGTCCCACCCGCAGAGCTGCTGATAAAACTGGTCTGGAGTGAACCTGGGCATGAGACCGCTGAAAGTTCTCCAGAAGGTTCCAACGTGCAGCCATGGCTGAGCTCTACCACTCTAACTGGAAATGCTACTTCAAACAGTTTTGCTAGCCCCTCCACAAATCTGTAACAAACCAGTCTTTCAACTAGGGAAAACTGTTCTGGACACTCCCCTTCTTTAGGCCTTCAAAGATTCCACAACACTTTCAATGCCTCCCTCAGATTCCTCAACATGGCACAACAGCTTCTATCTACAGATCTCACCCCTGCCTCCCTTCCCAGCTTCATCTTCAGCTACTCCCTCCACTCCAATCAGGTTAAATACTTTGCAATTCCAGAAAGGCCCCAGCTCAACCACTCCAGTTTTGGCACACACCTTTCCTTCTGTTGGAAGTCTCTCTCTCCTTGGGCTACTTTTACTGCCTAGCATTTAAAATGGCATTCCATACCATTTTCTAAGTCATTACTGTGTGCCAGAGTCTGTTCTAGAGGCTTCCCATATATACATCATCTTGCTAGTGCTTAGGAGAATAGAATAAAATGTATTATTACTGTCTCCATTTTACACATTTAGATACTGAGACAGAATGAAGTTAAAGAATGTGTACAACATGCCAGAGATAGAGAGGGCCACAGCCCTACCTCCCAAGCCTCTGCTCTGTGTGGTGCCACCTCCCCTTACAAGCTGTTCCCAGCCTCTGTGGTCTAGTTCCTGGATGCCCTTCTTCTGACTTTTTCATAAAACCTATGATCATTTGCTTGTTCTAGCTATCATTTACATAGTTTTAAGTGGGCTATGTCTCTCAGCTTTGTATCCTAGCGCCTGGTTTAGTTCCTGGCACAGAATAGGCACACAGAAGTATAAAACTGATTAGCATAGATTGGAGCTATTACCTTTTCTAATCTGGATGCCATATTTCCTGTAATGTGGTGTAAACTGTATTTTTTTGTTACATTTTAACTGGTACCATAACTTATACTGAGTCTGAAATAAATTTAAATGCTAGTTCTTTTATTATTTTGAACAACCAGGATATCAAATAAAGTTTCCTTCCTCTGTAACCATGAAGCTGATTTTTGTTTATATATAACACACATATCTTACCAAGTGCTAAAGATAAAAGTTATTATCAAACTTCCCAAATATGGTTATTCACCTATTTAAGAATTCACCCTAACTGGAGAATAATTATCTATGATTCTAGGGTGAAGGAGAACAGCTATGTAATTGATAGACATGTGCCATCAACTCAGCCCCAGGCAGGACAGGCATGTGAGGAAAAACACAGCCCTGCAAAAGTCTGGCTCTCAGATTTTTTTTTTTTTTTTAATTGAAGTACAGCTGACATATATATTATATTAGTTTCAGGAGTACAACATAGGGATTTGATAGTTACATATATTACAAAATGCTTATCATGGTAAGTGCAGTTACTATCTGTCACCACACAACATTATTACAGTATTATTGACTTAATATTCTCCATGCTGTATGTTGCAACCCTGTGACTTATTTTATAACTAGAAGTTTATACTTCTTAGTACCTTTCACCTATTTCATCTATCCCCAGACCTCCTCCCTTCTGGAAACCACTGGTTTGTTCTCTGTACTTATGAATCGGTTTCTGCTTTTCTTTGTTCATTTAGTTTTTTTAACATTCCACATGTAAGTTAAACCATGTGGTATTTGTCTTCTCAGATGATTTTAAAAAATGACTTTAGTGATGCTGAATGTTTAAGATGAAATCACTTCTGATAAACTGTTAAAGCAAAAATCAAAAACCAGCAAAAAGCAGTGAACAAGAAACACAAAAAAGACAAATTAAGGTTAGGGAACAGATTGACTCTGATTTTAAACCTGACACTAGAGGAAAATTAAAATATAAAACTCAGGTCAAAACAAAATGAAAAACATCATTAAACCCAGATCTGCCATGCCAGTTAATACCAAAAGAATTTAGAGGGAACTTAATAAATTTGACAAATTGATTCTAAAGTGCATCTGGAAGAGTAAAGGCAGAGAACAGCCAAGAAATTTTTTAAAAAAAGGAGTAAAAGGGAAGAGGGGAACTTATCCTACCTAGATTTCAAAATTATTACACAGCTGAAGTGTCAGAAATAATGTGATATTGCTAAGAAGCAAATAAAAAAAGTGACAAAACAGAAATTAAAGTCCAGAAATTACTTCTTGTACATACAAAAATGTTATATATGGTAAAGGCAGCATTTCAAATCAATGTGGGAAAGGGCGGATTACTTAATAAAATGTTCTTGGTTGTATATCTGAAAAATAAAACACTGCACATCTGCTGCACTTCAATAATAATAAAAAAAAAGGCACACCAGAAGAAATGTTTCTGAGATAAGAAACTGTCCACTTGGGTAAAAGAAACCTTGGATTTCAATTTCTCATCTTGTACAAAAATCAATTCCTGAAAGATCAAGTATTTACACATAAAAATTAAAGACATAATGCCTGGGTGGCTCAGTCGGTTAAGCATCTGCCTTTGGCTCAGGTCATGATCTCAGAATCTTAGGAGGGAGTCCTACATAGAGCTCTCTGTTCACGGGGAAGCCTGCTTCTCTCCCTCTACTTCTCCCTCTGCCCCTCCCCCCTGCTGATGTGCGTGCACACGCTCTCTCTCAAATTAATAAAATCTTTTAAAAAATTAAAGCCATTAAAGTATTAAAAGAAGGGTAATAATAGTTTTTGTAATTTGGGGATGAAGAAGCCCTTCTGAGCATGTTATAGCATTTAGAAATCTTAAGTGAAAAGAGACTGACAGATGGGACTATCAAAAAATAAATGTTTCCTAAATAGCAAAAGACCTAATATACTTGAGACAAACCTCAGACTTGGTAAACAAATTTGCAACACATACGTCATTAGATTACTATCCTGAAAAACTTTTATTTACTTAACTTCCCACTTCTGAGTCAATAACAGTAAAAATACCTCAATACAAAAATAAGCTGAGGCCATGAAGAAACCTAAATGTCAATAATCACATGAAAAGATGCTTGATTTTAATTTTTTTAAAAAAATTACACTTTTAACAAAAAGAAACAATTTCATGTACCAGGCTGATAAAGATTAATAAGTCTGATAACATCCTGAGTTGGTAAAAATGTGGCATAATGGCTACATTTACAAAATACTTACTTGGCACCTACTAGATGTTAAGTACTAATGCTAAGCACTTATGCGTACTTGGTGCAAGGGACACTATCCCCTGCACTCAAGCAGCTAACACGTTGTTGGTGGGAGGGATATTGGACGGTCTTTTTGGAGGGCAGTCCGACAATGTAACTAAAGAGGAGTAATGGGTTTGGTCTCTTAGAGGACATCATTTTAAGTAAGTGCTTTAAAAACAATTATGGGATTGGGAGGGAGACAAACCATAAGTGACTCTTAATCTCACAAAACAAACTGAGGGTTAATGGGGGGAGGGGGGTTGAGGGGGGTGGGATTATGGACATTGGGGAGGGTATGTGCTATGGTGAGTGCTGTGAAGTGTGTAAACCTGGCGAT